CAGGATGGAATGAGGCTGGTTGCAAACGCATGTGGAAGGAGTAGCGGTGCAAATGGACTATGAAGAGTATGACGAGCTTTGCTGAAAAACATCAGAATCAAGTGTGCCATGGTGATGCGGTTGAACTAGGATGAACTAGGAGTGTTTGGTCTCTGGACCACTCTCGACCATGGCCCTCGTATCGTTTGTTGTGTAAGTCGTTGGGTCCGATGCTCCAGGCGGAGGAACCAAAAGCAGAGGTGCAGCAGGCAGGGAGAAGAAACTTAGACTTGTGAAATGGCCGGCGCGAAGATACTGTTCTACATTCGCTACATTGTTCTACTCTAGATTGTTCTTGTTTGCGCTTCATGACGGAAGTTTTCCGTTATTCCATGTTATTCCAAGGACACATCTAGAAAAGCTATGAAACGCTTGCATCAAGGTCAGATAAGAGCACACACTACCTGCTTGGAATGATTGGAATGCGCCATTGGAGAGTTCTCTACAGGTGCCCCGTTCAGCGAGCGTTGATCCTGATACGAAACGAGGCCCGTGGAAGTGCGAAGTGGGCTGAAAATGGCTCAAACAGAGATTCTTCCTGATGAATCATCCTTCTTCCTGCACTTCCGTACTTCATGGTGCTTCTTTCATTATTTTTCATGATAAGACAAGAGTTTGAACGTATTTTGTATTTTTTTGCCATATTTTGCTTATCTGATCTGAATGCACCGCCAACAAAACCAACTTCCCAGGACATCCACCTCCTCGCTGGCGTCCGGTGACACCCCTTCTAGGCACAGATTTGTGTGTTTGCTCAATATATTTCACCCTGGAGACGAAGCAGGTCTGGCGGAGATAACAGCCCAAATGAACATGAAATGAACATGAAATGAACATGAAATGAACATGAAATGAACATGAAATGAACATGAAATGAACATGAAATGAACATGAAATGAACATGTTCACATCATGTTCGCATTCCACTTAGTCACTAGTCACCCGTTCCTCGCCAGTGTCACAGCTCTGCCAGGTCCCATGCTGCAAACGGCCAAAGGTGCCTTGGATGGGGAGATGAAAACGTGGTGCTGAAATCCTTCATGGGACTTCATGGGACTTCAAACCGTAGCGATAGATAGCGCAAGTAGCTTCCAGCAGGATAATACTGTAATATTACATAATTTACATAATATTACTTAGTATAATTATAATCAAGGTATAATAATCAATGTATAATTATATACAATATATCAGTTACTAATTATTAGTTCTATACTCAAGTGGCATTCCAATGATAGGAGATGATGCTCCGCAAACTGAAAGAGGCCGCTGACATCTGAGCTGAGCGTTAACGGAATCCACAATGGTCTTGTGGGATTGGCTTTGGAGATATTTCATCATACAACACCTGGCATTCTGCAAGACTAGAATATGAAAAAGAAGTCTTCAACAAGACTTTAAATCAGCGAATCGGCAGAATCCTGGCCGCACCAAATACGACAAACATCAATGCACCAGGCACCACTACAGGAGTGGGCAAAGTGAAGACAGGCGGGATGTGGGTTCCTATGGTTTCTTGAAAAGATTGACTTGATAAATTTGCATATCGTACATAGTGTGATACACGCAGATAAGATCATAAGATACTGTACATATGTTGCAAGGGCAATGTTGCAGACAGTTGAGTTGTTGAAAATACGGGTTCCACAGAAATGCTGACTGATGGATACTGATGGTATTTTGAGGAAGTCAAACGCGGCTTTTTCAGGCGAAGCTCCTCGTCCAATTTCGGCAGGAGATTGTCTTGGTGCTCATGGAACACCACCGCGGATGGTTTGTAGGGCTGCTGTCCGCAGCAGTGACCGTAGAAGGTAGAGGTAGACTTTCAAAGTTCATATTCAACCACCTTTTGGTAGGTGAACGAAATAAAAAAATACCATACGTCTTACAGTCTTGTCACCTGTAAGGTACATGAACAAGAAATTGACTTGGAATCAGAATCCTTATGCCTTATGAAACTTGGAGTCAACGTCCAGTTTGGCCCTTCAGGAGGTCCAGTCCTTCTGAAGAAGGATATACAGGTGGAATGAGGGGACTCCGATGTTTTGGCTGGAGACTCCTGGACACCTTTGATGATCAGAATGGGCATTTGACTGAGTAAAGCAGAGTAAAGTTAGTGTAGTGAGTAGTGAGTAGATGTGAGTAGTGTAAGACACTCAGAAATCAGGGCCCCTTTCCTGTACACCGTGGTGCAATCCTCGTCATTTTCTTCTTGGCAGAGCCAGGCTTCTGCACTATGCAGCGCTGAATTGCAGAGGCAGATGCCATCATCAGCATCTTCCGCCTTGCTTGTGGTAAGGGAACATATTAACACTGAGATCCAGGCATTTGGTAAAAAGGGTCTGAATGACAGGTATCCAGTTGGGAAAACATCCTCCTATGATCTCCTATGATCTCCTATGTAAAATTTCCGTTGCTCACAGCTGGGCAAGGGGTCTCTGGAACATGAAGAATGAGCAGCATGACTTTGCACTCACATCGTTTAAGCCAGTTTTTGTTGCACAATTTGAACCAGAATGAGCCTGATATGTGGGCCAACACTGACTGACCTTTCAGGAGTCGCATTGAGGGACCGAAGCCAGTCAGTGCCCGCGCGGCCCCACAGTTTCCAGAAGACTTTGGAATTCTGCTGACGAAGATCAGAGGGACTTTCCCAGAAAATTATAGAAAATTGACTTCCGCCCAGCCAAATCCAAAGTAGCAAACTCCTTGCCAAGAGTAAGGTAGGAACTACGCCACTAAGCCTCCAACCTTTGGTTTACCCGACCTGACCCGACCTGTGACTTTCCAAGAGAGTCTCTCAGGGCGCAAGCCAGCCGTCATGCCGGAGATCCACTCCAACGAGAGGAGAGAATCACAGGCCCATTCCTTCGATCTCGGTACGATCAACTGGAGATGTCAAAATATGTCAGCCTTTTCCACAGTATTCCCACAGTGGATTCCACAGTCACACCATTTTTGCTGGCTGAGATTCTCTTCACTGTGCACTGTTCTCCTCAAGGAATTCCACGGAAAGGTCCCAAAGCATCTATAAGGATCTTGAAGCTCTTAAGCTCCAAATATCATCAAATATCCATTTCTTATAGAATCCCTTGAACATCCATTCAAAATCAGAAATTTGTCAGGCCAGCGAGGCCTCGGCCATGGCTATGGCTGCGACTTTGGCGCAGCAGCAATTGATGGCCAAGATGAAAGGCCACTTCCAAGCCACCAGGGCCACCAGGGATCCAAAATCGATTCAAATAATCGAATCATGCCTTAAATAATGATGGCTTGAAAAGAAAAACACCAAGAATGATACAATAAGTTGAATAATGGCTACAATATGGAACGAATTCGGATTCAGCAACTTATGTGGATTCAGCAACTAATGATTCCGCAACTTATTTTGGTCGGATTGAGCAACTAATATGGTCGAATTCAGCAACAAATGTGGTCGGATTCAGCAACTAATCCGATTCAGAATTTAATGTGTTCGGATTCAGAAACTAATAAAATTGGATTCAGACACTAATTATTCAGAAACAAATGATTCGTCAAGCAGAAACGCATGAGACAGTACATGCATGAGCCATGTCTTAATCCTCCCCTCAGCTGACACATCAAAATTGCCACCCCCTCTCGCAAATACATGCGTATTCTTGTTATTAACTAAGAAAACAAACAGGCCTTCCCACTCTGGACGGTCATCCACATGCCCGGACTCGCAGGAAGGCCACAGACTGGAAATGCTCGAAGTGCCACACCTCGTGTTGCTTGGAGAAAACTGGTGTCACGGGCCGTGGGCTTTATTTATTTACAAATATATAATATATACTTTAAGTAGTTTTATATTTCATGTCAATGTAGGTTTCAATTTTCTCAACAGAACCATCATTTCAAATCAGTTCGAGATATTTGGTTCGTAAAACTTGGAGTTGTTGTCAAACCACTGGATCAGTCATGGATGTCATGGGCGTGTAGGTCAGGTGCTGATGCAAGGCTTGAACACTTTGCTGCAAGACACACCTTGATGGAGCTGACCTTCAAAAAAGTAGAGAAGTTAAATTCATAAATATGATATATATATATATATCATATCTATACACTTTCTATATATAAATACATATAAATAGTGTATGTATATATATATATATATGTGTATATAATTATATAAAGAAAACAAGAAATAATTACATAGCCGGCCATCAGTTGATCGAGTTGATGTAATGCAGAACCACCTTCTATGTCCCTCATTTTGAGCTCCAGGATGAGAGCAACTCAGCAGCAGTGGCGGAACGCTTTGGAAAATCACAGGTTTTTTTGCTGTTGGATATGTTGAATGCAGGATTGTGAGCGGTGCATTGGATTCATGTATTTGCGTATAACTACCGTATAACTGTATAACATTGTATAACACTGAAACAAAGAGTGAAACAAATGTTGGGAAATTGTATGGAGCAGCGAAGGAACAACTGAATCAGGCTATTCATGGCTATTCCATGTTTCTGGTTTTCGTGTTATTTTGTGTCTGGAAGAGGTACGAAAGCTTGGTTGGATGTATTGGTCACAGACTCAGCATGGTTCATGTTCAGGTGATGTAGAGATTGTACAGGTATTCTACAGTCTCCATCTTTTTTTTGTAATCACAAAGCAATACAAAAGAATACACATCAATTACACATCAATACAAAACATCACTTTGTATCACTTGTGCTGTTTACCGAACCTCGTTTTGAGCGTTTCAAAACGATGGCAAGGATTGCACAATGATTTCACTGCACCGAGGCCCAAGCCAATGTGGAACCGAAGGTACAGCGTGTCCTGTCCAAGGTGTGGGCCACGCCGAAAATGGCGACTCTAAGTGGACTCGAAGTAGCTGGTTCCAACAGATTGTGTCTTGATTTTGTGTAAAACACATTTGAAGACACAAAATCATTGCTTTCCGAGGGCGCACGTTTCCGCAAGATGACACAACAATTGTTGAATCATTGCTTTCTTACTGCAGGGATTGGCAGCTCAACTTACCTCAGCTGCCTTGCTGCAAGAGGGGTTCACCGCTTCACTCAGATGAAAAGCTAGGCGAGTTCTTTGTGATTTCATTTGTTGTATTTGTTCACAGACCTAGAGGCCTTGGTAATCAAGAAAAGTGAATGAGGAACACTCAAGACCACGAGTCTTTGAGATCTTGGATTGCTAGCACTGCAGCAATTTGAGCAGCAGATTACTGTGCTATTCTTGGATACTTTCAATTTTCGACGGGCTGTGTGTAAGTAGACGTTGTGGCGAGTCATGAGTCCGAACTGGCCACGTGCCACACCCATTGTCCCATTTGGCCAAGGAATGCAGTGAACAGCTCAGTTGAAGCCAAGTTCTGCTGGGTAGACCGCCTTTGGCATGGCTTTACCATTCTGATCTGGTGGTGTAGTCGTTTCAAGTCCTGTGACAGGTATTTTCATCATTGTTCATCTATTTTATTCTATTTTGATGTATTTTTGGGAATGTTGCAAGATGTTTTTCATTCCAACTTTGAGGTGTCTTGGCGACCAGTGGCAAGATGCGAATACCTCAGCGCCCGTTGCCTCAGACCTTGAAAGCGCCCGTTGCCTCAGTCACCTTTGCTGAAGCCAAAACCGCCGAGGTCGCTTTCATTCAAAGAACTGAGGGCAATGGCGCGTATCCAGCATTTCCATCACAGTGATCTTTAATGATCTTTAATGGCAAATAATGAAAACATGTTAGTGAAACATAGTGAAACATAGTGAATCATAAATAGTCAAACCAGTTTTTGGATGTTTTTGGTGCCTCAAAGTGTATCCAACGAGTGCAAATTGGAAATGTGATGGGAGAGAGCACTGGGTTCACTGGCGCAGGAATGGTGGATCCACCAGTTGGCAACCAATTTTAACCAATTTTGGCGACATAGAACTGACTCAAAGCTGCACTATGCACTGCTCAAAGAATTTCAAGGCATTCGAGGCATTCCGCAATTGTTCCACACGCTATCCACTATTCTTCCGACGGCACACGAGCGGCAGCCGTAAAAGGCCGGCGGCCGAAGCTCGTGGCATTGTCCACATATCTGACGACAACTTTGGAATATGCTCAAGTCATTCTCATGAAGATCACGAAGCAAAAAAATGAGGTGAAAGCGGTGAAAGTGAAGTGTATCGCGATTTGCTCAGAGACTTTGTCATTAGAGGTGCTGAGCAGATCTTAGATGATCTGTAAGGATATGTACGGATAAGATATTTATAAGATATTTATAAGATATAACATCAGAGAATATCAGATAACACTGCGAGTTTCAATGATCCAAGCGGACCAACGCGCATCTTCAAAACCTGGCATTTCCAAGTTTTTCATGTGGGTTTTGAAGTTTATATCATGGCCTGTTTGTTCCCGGGAGTGTTCGTGATCAAATATAGTCGAATCGTAAGGTACAGAAATCCGTCAAACTGAAGGATTGACCTCCGCTAGAAAACGTTGAAATTCTGACTTGAGAATCAAAAGTGGTTGCGTCGCATGTCCATAGAATGGTTCGTCTTGGAGCTTGGGAGTTTGTTCGAGTGACCCTGTCGATTCATCCAATCGACAGGACTTCAAGTACCTAGCTGCAGCAAACTCCGACAGCCATGGCGAATGTCATCTGTGAAATGTCTGAATCTCTGTTGGAGATTGGCAGGAAAGAAACAGTGCAGCGGCCGCGAGTATTTTGTCACTTTAAAGACGCATGAACAACCTTGGTATCTAGCAGCAACCTCGTAGGCTGATGCATTTAGCATCATTTTGCACCGGGTGGTATATGTGGAACGCCAAGCAAACCTCAAAAAGCTGTTTCACCGGCACAGTGGGCGACTCGTTCACACGCGCACCGCACCAAGCTGGCACGATGCAGGCTTTTGCTGCTGGACACCTTGATCCTCTCAGAAGATGGCGGCTTCCAACGTCCCAACGAGAGCGAACCGCTCTTCCCCAAAGGCCCCGAACCACGACGTGCTCGTTGAATCCAGTTGACATGCTCGTTGACGTGCTAGTTCATGTGTTGAACCATGAAGGCATTCTGAGAAGACACGTCACCCATTATATCCATTTTTCATCCATTTTCATCGTCTGCACTCGCTCTCTATATCTCTCTATATCTCTCTCTATCTCTCTCTATATCTCTCTATCTCTATACTTAGACTATCTTAGATTGCTATGATTGCTTGGGCGACCAATCCGAAGCGATCGGGCACAACTTGAGCCTATTTCCCAGGCGGAATTAGCCTGAAGTGGCGATGGGATCCAAAGGGATGTCGCATCATCATCGATTTCTGGAAAGGCCATCGACACTGAGTGTTGCTGTACACGTATGTTGCAGTGCTGCACTTCAAAGTTGAAGTGGCCACATGACACTGGAATTGGCTTGAGCAGCTTGAGTAGCTTGAGAATGCAATGAATCATTTGGACATTTTGGACACAGTTATGTGAATATGATTAATATCACGAAAGCCAGCCGAAGGCCTGGGCTTGAGTATAGGTATAAGCGAAGCGAAGCGAAGCTAATCTAGGGGGTGTGGGGGGGGGGAGGCCCGAAATCGGTCCGTTTTTGAAAGGTGAGGCCGGAGCCTGGGTGGGGAGAGCTCAAAAACCGACCTGCCGTTTGCCTGGTTTTTTGGGCCCGAACGAGAGGCTCCATTTTGGACACTTGTTGGTGGTTTTCGACGGTTTTCATCGGGTTTCAAACGCCGAAACACTGTAATTTCCGGTGTTTTTGTGCGTTTGGCCTGGCAAAAGTACGTCTTGCAACATGCTGAAAACTGCGTAAATACCACTGTTTTTGCTAGGTTCTGGCCATAAAACACTGTAAATACCGTGGTTTTTGGTTCCAGGAGCAAAAAACACCGCAAATACCGTGGTTTTGGGATTCGGGGAATGTAAGCTGCAAGAGATCAGCTTTTGTTTTCTCTGCTTGGAGCAATAGCTCCAGACATCAAGGCGATGGCTGACATCATTGTCTTTATTTTGGGGTCGTGGCTGTTGGGGACTTCAGCTACACATTCTTTTCATTTCGTGCTAAACACTAGCAGCGCAGGGGCAACATTGGCTGTCTAGCAGTCAGTGAAAAACATTGCGGCACAGCTGCTGTTCTGCTATTTTGGAACGGAACCAAGACTAGACAAGGAACATAAATGAATGGCCAAACAATGTCAAACCTTTCTTGGCCAGGCCATGTTGTGCTGCTGCTGCTGCTGGCCGCCTGTCGCAGCTGTGTTCCTGCACACGCAGCTGAGGCCATATTGCTGCTGCAAGACTGTGGGGTTGATAATGTGAAATAATTGCACATAAATGAGAAAAAACAAGAAAACTAATTATAAGTAAATTCTATGTTAATAACCTTTTGTGGTCATTGAAGCAGCAAACTCCTCACAGCTTAAATAGCTGGCAGGAAGCAGGGAAAGACCGGCAGGACGCTGTTGTCCTCATGGTTTGGGAAAGTTTGACTTGTCCTTACTCATGATGAGGTAGGACCCATGTGACGTTGGCTGCTGAGAGGGTGGGAATGTTTCGACCGCAAGCTGGCTTAAAAAAAACTGAACTCGTTCGTATCCATCCCGGTTCCAGCCCTGGCCATGGTACGCTGCTTCCTGCTGTTGTTTCTCTGCTTCCCTTTGGCGTCGACGACCAATGAAGGCGGCTCAAAGGCAGGGAGTAAGCAAGCACTCATGTGTGTCACTAACTCTTCTTAGACATGACTGCCAACTGCAGCAAGCTTTGAATCCAATGAGTCGTCATTGTGTGACAGGCCCCAGAGCCTCAGTGGACTCGTGAACAACGCGACCAGCTGGCCGCTTCCTTGGCCGCCCACCAGCAGCAGCAAGCGCAGCAGCAGCAGATGGCGGCTGCGGCTGCTTGGCAGCAGCACCAGCAGCAGCAGGCAGCTCTGCACCAACAACAACAACAATATGCTGCTGCTGTTGCTTCTCAACAAGCCGCGGCGCAACAAGCTGCCCAAGCTGCCGCGGCCGCTGGCTTGTGCCCTGCGAGTAGTGTCGCCATGACTCCGCAGGGCATCGAGAAGGCGATCCAGGCAGGAATCACAGCGGCTTTGCGGCCATTGCTGGCCCGCTTGCGGGCGTGTGAAGGAAAGGTGAAGGAGATGCGCCAAGGGAAATCTCGAGATGGCGGTCGCGGCGGTGGAGGCCAAAAAAGGCGAGACACTTTCGCCTATTACAAAGCCAATCAGTGGAACAAGAAGAGACAAAGATACCGCAAAGAAGACGACAAAGACGAAGATGAAGAGGAGCCTGACGAAGATGATGCGTCTTGGCAGAGCTGGGACCACACAGGCTGGAAGTGGCAGGACTGGGACAACGGCGGCGGCGACTGGGGCGCCGGCGACTGGGGCGCCGTCACAGGTTGACGGATTGAGCGACCCTAGCATTCGGTCTAAAAAAGGTGCGCTGCAGCTCCGGGGTTGATAATGTGCACTGTGCACGGAACCAAGACTAGACAAGGAACATAAATGAATGGCCAAACAATGTCAAACCTTTCTTGGCCAGGCCATGTTGTGCTGCTGCTGCTGCTGGCCGCCTGTCGCAGCTGTGTTCCTGCACGCGCAGCTGAGGCCATATTGCTGCTGCAAGACTGTGGGGTTGATAATGTGAAATAATTGCACATAAATGAGAAAAAACAAAAAACTACTAATTATAAGTAGATTCTATGTTAATAACTTTTTGTGGTCATTGAAGCAGCAAACTCCTCACAGCTTAAATGGCTGGCAGGAAGCAGGGAAAGACCAGCAGGACGCTGTTGTCCTCATGGTTTGGGAAAGTTTGACTTGTCCTTACTCATGATGAGGTAGGACCCATGAGACCAAACGGTAGGACTTCCAAAGTCTTCACGTAATGTCACATCATGAAGGGGCGAAGGGGCTGGCTGGCTTCTGCTCACTCAATCATTTTGAATGCCTATCGCCGCAGCTGTTTGAAATTTCCAAGCCTGGAACTAAAAGTCTTTCACCTTGGCAACCAGGACCATGCCGCGTGCGCTTTTCGCGGTGCTTTGCCTGTGCTGCCTGGCCACTGGCAAGGTCACTGGCCCCAATAAAAAACATGGGGGGTCGCAAGATGAAGATCCAACTCTGCGCTTGGCGCACGCAGTGGCTGCAGCTGTTGTGCAAGAGCTGAGCAGGCAGCAGCCCCAAGCGCTACCGCCACCGGCGCCCATGCTGCCAATGCTGCCTCCGCAGCCAATGGCGCCCTGGTCCGGCTACCCTGGGCCGATGATGATGATTAGCGGCGGCGGGCCCATGCTGCAACCTATGATGGGGTATGATGAATCAAATGGTTCCTTGGTTGCAATTAAAGTGTACCAAAAAAAATTGCGGCTGCTATTCTTGGCCGTGTTTGAATTTCAGCCAGGTTCCCCTGCCAAACGGAGCCACTCTGACTATCGCATCCCCTGAGCCTGTTCCTGGTGGCGCCACACATGGGCCTGGTTCGTTGCCGTCTGGACCTTCAACTTCCTCTTTGTCCGCATCGCCAACGAGTTCCCTGGCTTCGTCTCCAGCTGCTGGCCCTGAATCAGGCAAAAAAAGGATGTGTCTGTCTGATCTAGACGGCCTGTCTGCTGCTGCAAAAGAAGAAGGCTGGCGGCACCTGACACAATCCGCAAAGAGAAAAGCCCGAAAGGTGAATTACGAAGGATGGTGGGATGACAATGAGAAAGAGAAGGACGAGAAGGACGACACTCAGCAGAACGCCGACCTCCACCCGGACACGAGTAATGATTCGTGGAATCCAAAATGGCCAGGATTTGGTCCTCCAAAACCAGGCGGAGGTGGACTGGCTGCTTGACCAGAGCATTCGGTATAAAAAAGGTGCGCTGCAGCTCCGGGGTTGATAATGTGAACGGAACCAAGACTAGACAAGGAACATAAATGAATGGCCAAACAATGTCAAACCTTTCTTGGCCAGGCCATGTTGTGCTGCTGCTGCTGCTGCTGCTGGCCGCCTGTCGCAGCTGTGTTCCTGCACACGCAGCTGAGGCCATGTTGCTGCTGCAAGACTGTGGGGTTGATAATGTGAAATAATTGCACATAAATGAGAAAAAACAAAAAACAACTAATTATAAGTAGATTCTATGTTAATAACTTTTTGTGGTCATTGAAGCAGCAAACTCCTCACAGCTTAAATGGCTGGCAGGAAGCAGGGAAAGACCAGCAGGACGCTGTCGTCCTCATGGTTTGGGAAAGTTTGACTTGTCCTTACTCATGATGAGGTAGGACCCATGTGACCAAACGGTAGGACTTCCAAAGTCTTCACGTAATGTCACATCATGAAGGTGCGAAGGGGCTGGCTGGCTTCTGCTCACTGAATAATTTTGAATGCCATTCGCCGCAGCTGTTTGAAATTTCCAAGCCTGGAACTGAAAGCCTTTCTCCTTGGCAACCAGGACCATGCCGCGCGCGCTTTTCGCGGTGCTTTGCCTGTGCTGCCTGGCCACTGGCAAGGTCACTGGCCCTAATAAAAAACATGGGGGGTCGCAAGATGAAGATCCAACTCTGCGCTTGGCGCGCGCAGTGGCTGCAGCTGTTGTGCAAGAGCTGAACAGGCAGCAGCCCCAAGCGCTACCGCCACCGGCGCCCATGCTGCCAATGCTGCCTCCGCAGCCAATGGCGCCCTGGCCCGGCTACCCTGGGCCGATGATGATGATGATTGGCGGCGGCGGGCCCATGCTGCAACCTATGATGGGGTGGCCAATGTTGCAGCAACCTATGATGAATCAAATGGTTCCTCGGTTGCAATTTAAAGTGTACCAAAAAAAATTGCGGCTGCTATTCTTGGCCGTGTTTGAATTTCAGCCAGGTTCCCCTGCCAAACGGAGCCACTCTGACTATCGCATCCCCTGAGCCTGTTCCTGGTGGCGCCACACATGGGCCTGGTTCGTTGCCGTCTGGACCTTCAACTTCCTCTTTGTCCGCATCGCCAACGAGTTCCCTGGCTTCGTCTCCAGCTGCTGGCCCTGAATCAGGCAAAAAAAGGATGTGTCTGTCTGATCTAGACGGCCTGTCTGCTGCTGCAAAAGAAGAAGGCTGGCGGCACCTGACACAATCCGCAAAGAGAAAAGCCCGAAAGGTGAATTACGAAGGATGGTGGGATGACAATGAGAAAGAGAAGGACGAGAAGGACGACACTCAGCAGAACGCCGACCTCCACCCGGACACGAGTAATGATTCGTGGGGTCCAAAATGGCCAGGATTTGGTCCTCCAAAACCAGATTGGGCTTGCGAGGCGTCAAAAAAACACGGCTTTTACGGAGTTTTTTGTTCCGAGAATGTTCAAAAAACACGAAAACACCACCTATTTGACCATTTTTCGGCTTTACCTTGTTGGTGGTTCTTGACGGTTTTCATCGGGTTTCAAATGCCGAAACACTGTAATTTACGGTGTTTTTGTGCGTTTGGCCTGGCAAAAGTACGTCTTGCAACATGCTGAAAACTGCGTAAATAATGTCTACCTCTGATTTATAAACCTGGCCCCCCCCCCCCTCTCTTTTACCTCAAATAAAGTTAAAAACTTGTTTGTATGTATTGGTTTTAAATTACCACCATTTAAAACGAATACATAAACAAAATTTCCAAAAAAACAGGAATCCAACAATTGTTTTAGTATTGGTTTAGTATTCCCAACAATTGTTTTAGTATTGGTTTAGTATTCATCTCATGGATTTAGTATTGATTTAGTATTCATGCCATGGATTTAGTATTGATCTAGTATTCATGTCATGGATTTAGTATTGATCTAGTACTCATCTCATGGATTTAGTATTGATTTAGTATTCATGTCATGGATTTAGTATTGATTTAGTATTGATTTAGTATTCATGCCATGGATTTAGTATTGATTTAGTATTCATGTCATGGATTTAGTATTGATTTAGTATTCATGCGATGGATTTAGTATTGATTTAGTATTCATGTAATGGATTTAGTATTGGTCTAGTACTCACCTCATGGATTTAGTATTGATTTAGTATTCATGTCATGGATTTAGTATTGATTTATTATTCATGTCATGGATTCAGTATTGATCTAGTATTCATATCATGAATTTAGTATTGATTTAGTATTCATGTCATGGATTTAGTATTGATCTAGTACTCATGTCATGGATTTAGCATTGATTTAGTATTCATGTCATGGATTTAGTATTGATCTCGTATTCATGTCATGGATTTAGTATTGATTTAGTATTCATGTCATGGATCTGCGCAAATCTGGGTTTAGGGCCAAAAACAATTAGCTTTATTCAGGGTCAAACTCTAATTAGTGCCAAGGCACCTCATGGGGGGTACCCTTGACGAGTTGATTTGGGATTGATTTTGGATAATTTTGAATAAAGGTTTTGAATAGAAAAGAGCAACCATTATTTTTTGAAAATTTGAAGTTATCAAGGTAAGATCTAATGAGCTGGCAATATGAATTAGTACATGAAAGCCACCTCAAATAAAGCATGGAAAAAAAAAAATCAGCCCCATCTGGGCAAATCTGGGTTTAGGGCCAAAAACAATTAGCTTTATTCAGGGTCAAACTCTAATTAGTGCCAAGGCACCTCATGGGGGGTACCCTTGACGAGTTGATTTGGGATTGATTTTGGATAATTTTGAATAAAGGTTTTAAATAGAAAAGAGCAACCATTATTTTTGAAAATTTGAAGTTATCAAGGTAAGATCTAATGAGCTGGCAATATGAATTAGTACATGAAAGCCACCTCAAATAAAGCATGGAAAAAAAACAATCAGCCCCATCTTGGCAAATCTGGGGTTGGGGCCCAAAAAATTTAGCTTTATTTAGGGGTAGTTTATAATTTATTTTGGGAAAAAATTAGCTTTATTCAGGGTTAGTTTACAAATCGTAGGTCAACATTACCACTGTTTTTGCTAGGTGCTGGCCATAAAACACTGTAAACACCGTGGTTTTTGCTTCCAGGAGCAAAAAAAACACCGCAACTACCGTGGTTTTGGGCTTGCGAGGCGTCAAAAAACACGTTTTTTTTTTCTTCCCAAAAGCGAAATGCAATAGCCGGCCGAATGGCCGCCAAATGGCAGAAAATTGCTTCCAACAGGTTTCTACTCTGGATCTGGCTCCAAAGGGCTCCTGGCCAGGATTTGGCCTAAAACGGCCGTTTCCCCTTGAGCCCAGAAGGCACTTTTCGTTGCCGGCCCGCAAGCCGCGAAAGTCTTAAAAGCTGGCTCCAAAAGGCTTCGGCCAGGCTTTGGCTAAAAATGGCCGTTTCCCCTTGATCCCAGAAGGCCCTTTTAGTTGCCGGCCCGCAAGCCGCGAAAGTCCCACAAGCTGGCTCCAAAAGGCTCCGGGCTTGCGAGGCGTCAAAAAACACCGTTTTTTTTTTCGGAGTTTTTTTGCTCCGAGACTGTTCAAAAAACACGAAAACACAAACTATTTGACCATTTTTCGGCTTTACAAATGAAGGTAAAAAAAAACATGCCGCAACGTCTCTGTGTGAAGATGTTTCTATGTAAAAGCGTCTCTGTGTAAAAGCGTTTCTCTGTAGATATATCTGTGTGTACAAGGGTCTGTGTGTCAAAGCTTCTGTGTGTAAAAGGGTCTCTGTGTAAAAGCTTCTGTGTGTAAAAGCCTCTGTGTGTCAAAGCGTATGTATGTAAAAGTGTTTGTGTGTAAAAGCGTCTGTGTGTAAAAGGGTCTGTTTGCAACATTCTGTGTATGCGTAAAAGGGTCCGTGTGTAAAAAGGTTCGTGTTTAAAAGTGTCTGTGTGTAAAAAGATCTGCGTGTAAAAGCATTTCTGTGTCAAGATGTTTGTGTGTCCAACAGTCTGTGTGCTACTACGACTCTGTGTAAAAGCCTTTCGGTGTAAAGATGTTTGTGTGTAAAAAGGTCTGTATGTAAAAGCCTCTGTGTGTAAAAGCTTATGTGTGTAAAAGTGTTTGTGTGTAAAAGCGCCTGTGTGTAAAAGGGTCTGTGTGCAACATTTTGTGTATGCGTCAAAGGGTCGGTGTGTAAAAAGGTTTCTGTTTAAAAGTGTCTGTGTGTAAAAAGGTCTCTGTGTAAAAGCATTTCTGTGTCAAGATGTTTGTGTGTCAAAAAGTGTCTGTGCGAAAAAAGCGTCTATGTCTCACGGCGTCTGTGTGTGCAAAGGTCTGTGTGTCAAAGGGTCTATGTGTAAAAGCGTCTGTGTGTAAAGCTGTCCCTGCGTACACGGGTCTGTGTAAAAGCGTCTGTGTGTCTGTGTGAAGCTGTTTGTCTGTAAAAGCGTCTCTGTGTCAACGTGTTTCTGTGTAAAGCTATTGTAAAGGGGTCTGTGTGTAAAAGCATCTGTGTGTCGAAGTAAAAAAGTGTCTGTGTGTAAAAGCGTTTGTGTGTAAAAACGTTCGTGTGTAGTCTGCAAGGGTCTGTGTGTAAAAGGGTCTATGTGTTTTTAGCTTCACAATGCTGGTTCATAGCTTCTGTTTGCTTGCTGTTCGTTCTAAAATTGTATATGTAGCCGTTTCCCGTTCTTCCCAAAAGCGAAACGCAATAGCCGGCCGAATGGCCGCCAAATGGCAGAAAATTGCTTCCAACAGGTTTCTGCCCAGGATCTGGCTCCAAAAGGCTCCTGGCCAGGATTTGGCCTAAAACGGCCGTTTCCCCTTGAGCCCAGAAGGCACTTTTAGTTGCCGGCCCGCAAGCCGCGAAAGTCTTAAAAGCTGGGTCCAAAAGGCTTCGGCCAGGATTTGGCTAAAAACGGCCGTTTCCCCTTGGTCCCAGAAGGCCCTTTTAGTTGCCGGCCCGCAAGCCGCGAAAGTCCCACAAGCTGGCTCCAAAAGGCTCCTGGCTAGGATGTGGCTAAAAACGAGCGTTTCCCCTTGATCCCAGAAGGGAAATCCAATTGCCGGCCCGCAAGGCGCGAAAGTCTAAAATCTGGTTCCAAAAGGGTTCTTGCTAGGCTTTGGCCCAAAACGGCCGTTTCCATTTGATTTCAGATGCGGCTCTGTGTCAAGATGTTTCTGTGTAAAAGCGTCTGTGTGTAAAAGGGTCTGTGTGCAACATTCTGTGTATGCGTAAACGGGTCCGTGTGTAAAAAGGTTTGTGTTATTAAAAGTGTCTGTATGTAAACAGGTCTGTGTGTAAAAGCATTTCTGTGTCAAGATGTTTGTGTGTCAAAAAGTCTGTGTGCTACTACTGTGTATAAAGCCTTTCGGTGTAAAGATGTTTGTGTGTAAAAGGGTCTGTATGTTTTTTCCCATTGCAATTTAAAGCCTTACAGGCACTCAGACAGAAACTAACAAAAGCGTGCAATTCGCGACAGCAGCTCACATCCGGGTGTCAAAGCACCCCCAATCTGGTTTCCAGCTAGAGCGGAATTTCTTGCCGTCAAGAAAAGAGCTGGAGCAATAGAAGCAAGCTTGTACATATATTGACCAGACATTGGTGGGATTGACAGGGACCAGGTGGATGCCTAGAGCTACCTGACACCGTAACCCAAAGGAAGAGCCTAACGTATTGTTGATAACTGAAGTGTCAATGCCCGGCAATGCCTCAGAGATTAAATCTTTAAGGTAGCGATGACATCGATGTATTAGTCGTCCAAAGCCCATATCTTGGTTAAAAAGGGGAGAAACAAAACCCAACCTTGAGATAAAGTCAATCAAAACAATGGACCACGGGGTAAAAGCAGTGATTGGCGATGTTCCACTGCACCAATACGCTTCGCGCATAAACCGGTGAATGGCATCAGCGCAATGCGGAGAGCTAACAGCTTTAGGTACAGGTGAATTTGAGACATCTAACCCTTGGACAACTGCGGTTCGATGTGTCACCCATTGATTGAATTTGGGATATTGTTGTTTGAGCGCATCCCAAATGCGATTGGGAACGAAAGCGCCAGAGTTGAGCAAGTTCAGGAAACATCGCTCCAACTCCCCTACTACCAATGTAGTTAGACAAGTTCCACGGCACAAAGCAGGAGCAGGAGCTTTGCCCCTTATCCTACGGCTTGGTGGGCAAGTGCACTTACGAGCTGTGGCGACTTTAAGTGTAGATAGAGCGCGGTCAACAATCTGATCATGATCCGGTGGCTGGGTTAACAAGTTCCTATTCACAAAGGACTTGATCAAATGAATTTGCACAGCTAGAATACAGTTGACATCACACACGCTATGATCAGAATGTTGTTGGAACTGTCGTTGGCATAAACTCTTAGCTAATGCGTCTGCTTTTTCATTGCCTTCAGTTAAACCAGGGTCTTGACTTGGGTCACGTCCATGAGCTGATACTTTGGATACATGTACTGTTCGATGGTTTAAACTTGTTTCAGCGGCTATGAGTGTCCACAAGTCAAAATTGTCCCAAGAACGCAAAGATGAAAAGCCTTGTGCATTACGACTTTGTTCACGAAATCCTTTGACTATGGTTGCACAATCGGTAAAAATATGGGCGTCTCCGTCTGTTACCTTTAACGCCAGCAAGATCGCTCCCAG